AGGCTGAGTCAACCCTGAGCCGGTGAGATTTGAACAGCCGAACTGCAGAACTGTAGTCAGCTGAAGTAGCCTGCAGTGCTGCATTTAACCACTGTGCCACCTCGGCTCTTACGTTCCTCTACGTAGTAGACAATACGACGTGGCATCTAAATTTTTTCCTACCCCAACATATATTTTGCTCCAAAAGGAATTGGAAACAGCTCTTTCTATACTATCTTGCCCTCTTCTTCTCATTTATCTACCTACCTTAATTGCTTGGAACTGTACCAGCCATACATTTCTCGGGCACCACATTTGTTATTTATTTACTGATTTACAGTTTGTATACCATGAAATTCAAAATGATTTATATCCTTTTTGGATATATGGATGGATTGCATTCATAAAAACGAATTAGCCATAGATCAGAAACTAATATAAAACTCAAATAAATAAAGTTAATATCTCATCCTACCAGCAATGACATGCAAGTGCACAATAAAACTCTGGAGACTCACCAAAAGAAAATAATTGTAAAAGCCTCCCAGAATGACAGGCTAAAAGAAGCCATTTTGGACCTCTGATGAAAGATGCTTTAAGGAATGGGGGCAATTACCAAGAAGACCTGCCTCTAAGTCCAGTTCAACAAACTTCACTGGAGGAAGTGTCCTAAAGCATTTTGCCTCCAGTTAAATGCAGAAGATGGATGGATTCCACAGCAGAAGTTGTTATGCCACTGCAGCAGCTTACTCCCATCAGCAGCTGGGCTGTTGCATTTGGAAACAACTGGGCTTTCTGAATCTTTGTAAAGCAGTCATTCCATAACATGTGCCTTCCAGGCATTTAAACTCAAAGAAATAAGAGTATGAATCACTGTCATTCCAAAACAATGACACAAGTGATGTAAATTAGGTGAAGAGTGATTCAGGCTAGGAGTGATTAGAATTAACATTTTGAATATCAAAATATGAAGCTTAAGAAACTACCTCCAGATTCTTCAGCATAACTTTGATTTCTGAGACAATAAATAAATAATGAATTTTGAAAGGCATACTCACAACACAAAGCTTTTTGTAGTCTCCTGATCTTGATGGCTGTACGGTAAGCAGAAAAACGCACGTTGTTCAAATCAGCTAAAAAAAGCCAAAGAAGAGAAAATTAATATATTCTAAGGAAGCATTAATCCAATACCATCAAGCACTTGTTGGTTTTAACAAAATGCATCCAATAGTGCATCAATCAATAGTTGATTCTTTTCTTAATTAAGAGAAAAAGAGAAAATAGGAATGCAACACCAGAAATCAAATGAGAGGTTTAAAGTTAGTTCCTGTTCAGAAAAAAAAGGGAAAAAAATCTATAATGGCAGGTGTTTAACATTTTAGACAATTTTACTTTGAACATCATAGTAATATTTACATGAATGAATTCAGATGAGGAAAAACAATTTATTACAATACAAAACAGGCTAGTTGCTTTAACATACCATGGACAGGTATACAATTTTTGTATTTCAAAAATTGATCAGAACAAAGTAATAGATAAGACTCCCTATTTGGTAATAGATAAAAGTGAATTGATCTGATTCAATTAAAATTAAGTCAAATATAGTGGAGGTGTTTCTTTTTTAGTGACAACCCTTAGAGATGCTACAGTGGCCAATCCTAAGCCTTTCAGAAATTAATGAGACCTTGATCTTTAGTATTACATTCTGCCCTGCTCCAGTAGCATATGTTTTATAAGATCATCAGAGGTTCCTAGTAACAACTTTCACAGATCCAGGTGTTCAGAGTCAAAAGTTTGATAAACACACACTGGAAGCAACTTCCCATTAGAATTGAATTCTATGGAAAAGGGCCACGTGATTAATCTTGAACTGCATGATTCTTAATTTCAATAGCCAGATAAGAAGTGTTAATAATGCATTCAACAGAAATCCTTGATGGCTATACTTAGAATGTTTATTTCCAGACTTTTGTACAGAAAATTGAAGAGGCATATATTCCTTCTTTCATTTTTGTAAAAAAATGAAAAAGATTGAGCTAGGAGAAGATGACGGGCCTAAAATTAACTTGTGAACATCCATGACTGAGATTTAGAAGGAATCAAGTATCCCCTTTTCATAATAATGGTTTTATTAAAAGACGTACAATTTTGTGAACTGTAGTTCATATACATGAAATGGTTAAACTGATGTAGGATTTCAATTGGGATGATACAGGTCAGGGAGAGGAAAGAATGTTATGCACATGCATATGAGATAAATTAAAGTATCCAATAAAGTAGCAATTCTAATGTTTTAAAACTCTTTTAAAAAGACTATCTGGAATAGCCTATAACTTTTAAACACTCTCACTCTATTTTGCTGGCTTTGCTACTTCAAAACATATACCTCATGGCTGAGGCAGACTTAAAACTAAGAGTCTCTAGTCCTAAACTCAGCACATTACCATTCCACAACTCTCGATTCTAAAAGTAATGTACTGCTTTGATAAAAGAGCCATGGTGGTGCAGGCGTTAGAATGCAGTATTGCAGGCAAATTCTGCTGACTGCCAGGAGTTCAATTCTGACCAACCCAAGATTGACTCAACCTTCCATCCTTCCAAGATTGGTAAAATGAGAACCCAGATTGTTGGGGGCAATATGCTGACTCTGTAAAACGCTTAGAGAGAGCTGTAAAGCACTATGAAGCAGTATATAAGTCTAAGTTCTATTGCTATAATGAAGTTCTTATACCTTGAATTTATTATTAAAAAAGCACTAGCCAAATTATATTCCTTAGAGGGTCATCAAGCATGGTTTGAAATATATTATATTCAAATGCATGGGATACTATGGCATTTTTTTTTAGGAATAAATATAACAATTGCATCAAAATTCTGTTTAAACTACAACATACCTTTCTTTAACTAGAAGGTGTACAATCAGTAAACTAAACCTGGTAATTATTAAGGAGGTACAATGTCCTTATGGACCACATTTCATATAGTGAAAAAAGTACAAGAATGTAATTTGACTTTAAGAACAATTAACACAAATGATACTATCACAAAGTATAGGGTAACTTGTATCCTGTTTATGTGGCATAAACTGCACTTTTGCACATGAAGAGGCTTCAGTTTTAAGGGCACTTACATAATGATTGGAATAGTTCAGTCATTTTAGGATGATCCCAGGATGTTGTTTGAGTTTGATGACTGCAAGAAAGAAACATGAATATTATTTTCAATCACCTGGAAGCAAAAATGCAATAAACAATGTGCAACAACAGTTATATTGTTAACAATGGCTAAATTTCAGTTATGGAGCTATACTGAAACAAGTTTCAAATTTATGTATTGTAAATACATGTATCAATTACCCAACATGAAATGATAAGTCACCATTGAGACATGGGGGATTTAGCAAGTAGTTTTTACTATAATGGCAGGATCTCTTTTCTGAAGAACATGTATTATAATATCTTTATGGAATATGATTAGTTCTTTGAATCATGCCTCTACATTTCTCAGCTTTTTATTATTTTTAGTACACACTGTCCTTGACTTGCAACCATTCATTTAGTGACCATTCAAAGTTACAACAGTACTGAAGAAAGTAACTTATCACTGTTTTTCACACGGATGACCTTTGTAGCATCTCCATGGTCACATAATCAAAATTCAGATGGTTGGCAACTGACTCACTCATATTTATGATGGTTGAAGTGTCCCAGTTCATGTGATCACCTTTTGCACCTTCTGACAAGCAAAGTCAATGGGGAAGCCAGATTCACTTAACAACCACATGACTCATTTAACAACTGCAGTAATTCGCTGAACAACAATGGCATAAAAGGCTGCAAAATGGAGCACAACTCACTTCACAACTGTCTTGCTTAGCAACAGACAGGAATAAATACCAATAGGCTATTGGTTGATGACACTATTTTGATAACATGGTGGTAAGACCCCTCCTCAAGAAGCCTTCTCTGGACCCAGCTATTCTTAANTGTTGGGGGCAATATGCTGACTCTCTGTAAACCGCTTAGAGAGGCCTGAAAGGCCTATGAAGCGGTATATAAGTCTACTGCTATTGCTATAAAATCCCAATGTTAGTATTTATCTCACACAATTCTCACTCCCTTCTTTTACAGAAGTCTCAGGAGGCAATTGCATTCCTTTCTCCATAATTCCCAATTATAGGTAGCACTCCAAAAAGTGTTGCAGCTATAGAGAATTTAAGTTATAAGCAAGGAGGATTATCATTCAGTTGTGCTGAAAATTAGATAAGAAAAATATTGCAAATCCTTCTGCTTCTGTTATTATTTACCAGTGAGACAAAAATTAGTCTAGAGTAGCCTTCCCCAACCAGTGGTGGGATTCAATTTTTTTTACTACTGGTTGTGTGGGTGTGGCTTGGTGTGTGTGTCATGTCATGGCTTGGTGGGCATGGCGTGGTGGGCGTGGCAGGGGAAGGATACTGTAAAATCTCCATTCCCTCCCCACTCCAGGGAAGGTAACTGCAAAATCCCCATTCCCTCCCGATCATCTGGGACCCAGGAGGCAGAGAATAAATGGGGGTGGGGCCAGTCAGAGGTGGTATTTACCAGTTCTCTGAACTACTCAAAATTTCCATTACCAGTTCTCCAGAACTGGTCAGAACCTACTGAATACCACCACTGTTCCCAACCAAGTATTCATCAAATGTATTGGGGCTACACATATTCTAACTATTATAGACCAACACTGCAACTTTTTATTAATTTTTATTAAAGCATATTATTGTCAACACAGGCTCCAATATTCTTCAGACATCTTCATAATTTCTAACCCAAAGCCTCTGAATTCTGCAATTGTTATGCAGGTAGTCTTCAACTTACAACCATTTTGGAGGGATCATTTCAAGTTACAATGGTACTGAAAAAAGTGACTTATGACAGGTTTTCACACAACTGTTGCATTATCCCCACGGTCATGAGATCAAAACTGAGTGCTTGATAACTGGCATTTATTTATGACAGATTTCACTGTCCAGAGGTCATGCAATCATCATTTATAACCTTCCCAGATGGCTTCTGACAAACAAAGGCTATGGGGAAATCCAGATTCACTTATGAACCACATGATTCAATTAACAATTCCAGTAATCCGCTTAGCCACCATGGCAAAAAAAAAAGTTGTAAAATGGGGCACAACTCATTTAACAACTGTCTTTGTCAACAATGGAAATTCTGGACTTGTAAGGCACTTACTACCTGGCACTCTTAGAAATTGAAATTGTTGTTTCAATGTAATTTCAGCAGACTATACATGACAGCTTGGTTTGGGTGACACCTAAAATGAAATCACTGCAGAGTTGTTCATCCAAATTTACATGTTAGAGAATTCTAGTCCCCAAATTAAGTTTTTCAATTTATTTTTTGGTGCCTTCTGATAATAAAATATACAACACTTGTTTCACTTTACCTGTCCCAAATAGAGGTAGGCTACCCAGCTTTAAAAAACATGTTGAGAATAACTGTAAATGTAGTGTTGCTTAAAGATCTGTCTATTGTTGCATTTAATACATTTAATAACTAATAAAGGGACTGCTTATTTCTGTGCAGAGATTATAAAATGTTTTATTGCCAAAGCTGTTGGAAAGTTTTTTAAAAAAGGACACCTGTTAGCATTTCTGCTTCAGAGAGATTAGTTTAAAAGAACAAAATTGGATTTGGATTCACTGAGGCCTGGCAGCCAAACAAGATTTTTGACCTCAGTCATTTATAGTCATTCTTCACAACGTCAATGCTAAAGAGATTTCCAGTAATTTATCTGTGAACAGGGAAATCTTACATTGGGTTTTTGCTAAAGAGATTTCCAGTAATTTATCTGTGAACAGGGAAATCTTACATTGGGTTTTTTTTCTGGGAAGACA